ATAAAACCCAATAAAATCTTTTCAAACTTTTGGTTTCCTCTTTTTACTAAGGGGCTGTTTGTTTGCCTAAAAAAAGAGAGAAATCAAAGAAAAGGAAACATATTTCTAAGAAAAATAGGTTTTGGGATTATTTGATTGGCTAAAAAAAGAAGGAAATCAAAGAATGGAGATGAGATGAGATGAGTTGTCACCTTATTATAGGATGATGTGAGTGATTTTTTAAGAAAACATGTTTTGATGTTGTTTGGTTGGCGGAAGAAATAAGAAAATGAATTATAAGAAACCTATTTCTTGTAATAGGTTGTTTTCTTTTGTTTGGTTATTTCTTAAAAATAAGAAAATAGATGAGATGAGATGAGTTGTCATTATATTATTGGATGATGTGACCCACACTTAAAGAAATTATTTTCCTAGCTTTTTGGGAGGAAAACAAAGAAATAAAATGTTAATGAGATGAGATGAGTTGTCACAATCTTATTGGATGATGTGAGTGATTTTTAAACATGAGATGAGATGAGTTGAGTGATGTTGTGGATGAAAATAATATTTTATTAGATGTGGTGGATGTGATGGATGAGTTGTTGGATGAAAATAATATTTTATTAGATGTGGCGGATGAGTTGTTGGATAAAAATAATATTTTATTAGATTTTGTGGGTGAGTTTTAGGGATGGAAATGTGTGAAATTGTACTTTTTGAGATTTCTTGGTTTTCATTTCTATTTTTTGCTTTTTTAGGAAATAACCAAACAGGCCCTAAATAGCACTTAACATGTCCTGTTGTTTCATCTATATTTCACTCATCCTCATATACCCCAACTTGTATTTGGTAAAAAGAAAATACTATAAATTAAACTTGCATTTGTATATATCCTCTCTTTTTTTTTGAAACACTTAAATACCCTAAGCCTCGTTTGGCAAAGGGTTAAGGAAGAGGCGTGAAAGAGAATGATTAATATACTTAGCACATTCAATAATCTGAAGGACTAAATTATTAACTCATTAAATAAGTTTTATTTTAGCCCTTGTGATCAGTTTTATTTTGAGGGGTTAACTCATTTTAATCCCTCTAGAGGGGTTAGCTTAACTCTTCTATATTTTTTATGTTTGGCAAATTATGGAGGGTTAACTCACTTTAACCATTGTATAGATTTTTTATGTTTGGCGGGTTAAGAAGGCGTTAAGTCTCATTAATCCCTCGCTTAACCCTTTGCCAAACGGTACCTAAAGTTTTTACAGCTACACCTTAAAAAATTTAAAACTTGCCAATAAATACCCTCAGTTATGCAAATTTTAGGGTATCTAAATGCAAATTTTAAAAAAATCATAGTGCTTAAGTGTCGGATTTAAAAACTTTTGGGTAATGAAGTGCAAGTTCTAATAACTTTATGGTACATAAATGCTACAAAAAAGAAGTAAGGTTATACAATCGGAGATATATAAGTGGCTGTTTGTTTGCCTAAAAAAGAGGGAAATCAAAGAAATGGAAAAGTATTTCTAAGAAAAATTGTTTTGGGAATGTTTGGTTGGCTAAAAAAAGAAGGAAATCAAAGAATTGGAGATGAGATGATGTTAGTTGTCACCTTATTATTGGATGATGTGAGTGATTTTTTAAGAAAACATGTTTTGATGTTGTTTGGTTGGCGAAAAAAATAAGGAAATGAATTATAAGAAACATATTTCTTGTAATAGGTTATTTTCTTTTGTTTGGTTCATTCCTAAAAACTATGAACATCCAGGGCCGGCCCTAGCATAAGGCAACTAAGGCCTTTGCCTTGGGCCCCAAGTTGGATAAGGCCCACCCACCCATATATATAATATATGTAACTTAGTTACTTAAGCATAAAGCTAACCCTATTTAAAAAGTGAAGATCCAAAGATAAAAAGTGAAGTTAATAGCTTAGCAACTTATGAGATTGAAAATTTTAAATTCTTAATAGCTATGAATATATTGAATATTTCTTATACATAGTTGATAAATCGCTTGGCTCAATTGAAAGTAGGTTTGAACAATTTAAAACGTATGAAAAAAAATTTGGTTTTTTGTTTGATTTGAAAAAATTAAAAGCTTTAGATTATATTGAATTGAAAGCATATTATCTTAATCTCGAAAATGCACTAAAACATGATGAACATTTAGATATTAATGGACTTGATTTGTTTTCAGAATTGAGAGTGCTTAGGAAAATTTTAAAAATAGAGATTAATAGTCCAATTGAAGTGTTGAACTATATAAAGTGGTTAGATTATTTTCTAAATACTTGTATTGCTTATCGTGTACTATTGACTATACTCGTAACAGTTGCTTCCGCTGAAAGAAGTTTTTCAAAATTAAAATTACTAAAATCTTATTTAAGATCGACCATGTTACAAGATATTGAAAATAATATGTAATTTTGTCGCTCAAAAGGTAAGAAGAATGAGATAAAATGTATTATGAGTTGTATCACTTAGGCCTCATCCAATATTTCGCGTTGGGCCCCAAAATTCCTAGGTACGGCCCTGTGAACATCATGCAAACCACGGCATATATTTTTCCGGTTTTAACTGCTACAGTAATTTTTTGAATTTTTGGGGTTGCTGCAGTATCTCGCTTCTACTACTGTGTTTTCGTGCGTTACGGTGATATTTTTTTCAAAAAACATGTCGTGCCAAGTCTCATGTTTGCTACAGTAAATGCCATATAGCATTTTACTATAGCATGAATAGTGAATCTTGAGTTTTCCCATTTATATAGAAGAGTAGATGAGTTGTCATTATATTATTTAGCTATGTAGATGAAACAAAAATGTATGCAAGTGAGAAGTAGATGAAACAAAAAGGTATGTAAGTGTTATTTAGCTATTTTTTGGGTTTGCAGCAAACAATAGAATTGCATGGGAATTGTTTTCCACATTTGATTAACCTTGAAATAGGGAGGGAGGAAAAACTCTCCAGGGAAAAATTTCAATAATACTTTAATATTAGATCTCTGGATATTTTAATAATCATAAAAATATCTTTCCTGAAAATGGCGTAGAAGTGATTTTTCCTGAAAATGGCGTCATTACTGACGTTTCAAAAGCACTAGAACCTGAATGCAACATGAGGAACTATTTTGACCTTTCCACGCGTGGTTTCTAGGGTTTCCAAGTTAGGGTCTGTTTAGGGCATGTTTGGTTATTTCCTAAAAAACCAAAAAATATAAATGGAAACCAAGAAATCTCAAAAAGTACAATTTCACACATTTCCATCCCTAAAACTCACCCACAACATCTAATAAAGTATTATTTTTATCCAACAACTCATCCACTATATCTAATAAAATATTATTTTCATCCACAACATCACTCAACTCATCTCATCTCATGTTTAAAAATCACTCACATCATCCAATAAGATTGTGACAACTCATCTCATCTCATTAACATTTTATTTCTAATAAGATTGTGACAACTCATCTCATCTCATTAACATTTTATTTCTTTGTTTTCCTCCCAAAAAGCTAGAAAAATAATTTCTTTAAGTGTGGGTCACATCATCCAATAATATAATGACAACTCATCTCATCTCATCTATTTTCTTATTTTTAAGAAATAACCAAACAAAAGAAAACAATCTATTACAAGAAATAAGTTTCTTATAATTCATTTCCTTATTTTTTCCGCCAACCAAACAACATCAAAATAAGTTTTCTTAAAAAATCACTCACATCATCCTATAATAAGGTGACAACTCATCTCATCTCATCTCCATTTCTTTGATTTCCTTCTTTTTTTAGCCAACCAAACAATCTCAAAACCTATTTTTCTTAGAAATAGGTTTCATTTTCTTTGATTTCCCTCTTTTTTTAGGCAAACAAACAGCCCCTTAGTTGATTTCCTAAAAACCAAGAAATGAAAATGAAAAGGTGGAAATCTCAAAAAGTATAATTTTATCTATTTTCATCCTTAAAATTCACCCACAACATCCAATAAAATATTATTTTCATCCAACAACTCATCCGCAACATCTAAGAGCATCTCCAACCATAAAACTCAAAATGGTGTAGTTTTTACACCAAGTTGGTGTAGTTTTTACACCAAATTACTATTCCATCTCCAACCCATTACACCAAATGTTACACCAAAAAGAATATTCCTTTTATTATTCTTATCTTTTAACATTTTTTGAAATTAAAAATATTTAACAAATTATATAATTATATAATACATTACATATAATTAATTATAATAATATATTTTATGAAATTGTAGCATTAAGATCACGTTCATCCTCAATTATCATGTTGTGCATAATAATGCACGCAGTCATGATATCATGTAATACTTCTTTTTTCCAAAAACGAGCTGGTCCTGACACAATTGCAAATCGAGATTGGAGTACTCCGAATGCACGTTCTACATCTTTTCTGCATCCTTCTTGCTTCATTGCAAACAACTTTTTTTTAGACCACGAGGATCATGAATTGTTTGTACAAGAGTAGACCATTTTGGATATATACCATCAGCTAAATAGTAACCCATGTTATAATGTTTACCTTGAATGACATAATGAGCATGAGGAGCAATACCTTCAGCGAGTTTTGCAAAAAGATGAGATGCCTCTAAAACATTAATGTCATTATTGAAACCTGACAAACCAAAATATGCATGCCATATCCAAAGATCATAATCAGCTACGGCCTCCAGAATAATAGTTGGGGATCCACTACGACCTGCGTATTGGCCCACCCAAGCCGTTGGCCAATTTTTCCATTTTCAATGCATGCAATCTAGACTGCCCAACATTCCTGGAAAACCTCGTTGTTTAGCAATATGTAGTAGTCTGGCAATGTCATTAGTGTTAGGCGATCTCAGATATTGTTCTGCAAAAACCTCCACAACAGCACGACAAAATCTCTTAAAACTTTCGATTGCTGTCGACTCTCCTATTTTAATGTATTCATCAGTAGCATCCGCTGGTAGACCATATGCCAACATTCGGAACACAGCTGTAATTTTTTGAAGCGTAGACAATCCAAGTCTACCGACCCCATCTCTTTGCTGTATAAAGTAAGTGTCGTGAGCTTTTATGGCGTTAACAATGCGAAGGAATAAATCTTGAGACATTCGAAATCGTCGGCGGAACATCGAATCATTATATCGCGGATTCTCAGAGAAGTAGTCGTTGAGAATCATTATATCGCGGATTCTCAGAGAAGTAGTCGTTGAACAGATTACGATCAGCATTTTCTCGATCATGGTTGATCACTATATGACCAGGAATTGAACCTCCACGAATTACTTGGTTGTTTTGTTGATTGATATAGTAAGCCATGAGAAGATTGTTGTTGTTCCTGATGCGAAACACCGCTTCCCTTTCTGCATCAATCGCTTCAATATCATCTATCAATTGTTCATCTTCAATTTCATTATCAGAAAATGATGATGACAAATTAGAAGGATCTCTATTGTTAAAATTCATTTTTTTTGAAAATAAAGGTTTATGATTTTAGCAAACTCATCAATATGAGCTTTTATAATAGATGGAGATGATAAACGGGAAGTGTTGGAAGTTGAAATGTTGTCATGAAGAGTTATCATGAAGTGCTAGAAGTTGATATGTTGTCATTGATGTATCTTTTCTTTGAAATGTTGTCATGAAGTGTTTGAAGTTGATATGTTGTCATTGATGTGTCTTTTTTTTGATATGTTGTCATGAAGTGTTTGAAGTTGATATGTTGTCATTGATGTGTCTTTTCTTTGATATGTTGTCATGAAGTGTTTGAAGTTGATATGTTGTCATTGATGTGTCTTTTTTTTGATATGTTGTCATGAAGTGTTTGAAGTTGATATGTTGTCATTGAGGTGTCTTTTCTTTGAAATGTCGTCATGAAGTGATAGAAGTTGATATGTTGTCATTGATGTGTGATAGAAGTTGATATGTTGTCATTGATGTGTGATAGAAGTTGATATGTTGTCATTGATGTGTCTTTTCTTTGATATGTTGTCATGAAGTGTTTGAAGTTGATATGTTGTCATTGATATGTCTTTTCTTTGAAATGTTGTCACTTTCATTTTTCATCTATAAATAACATATCATACTTCAAGAAACATACATCTTCTTCATTTGTGTTATAGATGACTTCAAATCAACGAAGTTCTTCATACACAAATGCTGAAGACTCACACCTCTGCCATGTATATCTTGACATTTCCCAAAATCCGATCATAGGTATAAACCAATCTAAGGATCAATTTTGGTCTCGAGTTGAGAGTGATTATCATAGCTCAATGCCTGCTTTTATCACTCAAGTTCGACCCAGAAGATCTTTGCAATGTCGAATGCAAACTCTGTTAACTGCAATTGGCAAGATGAGGGGATGTGTAAGACAGGTTGAAAATTTAAATCCAAGCGGTGCTTCTGAACAAGATATTGTAAGTGTTATTTGTTACAAATATTTTTGAGATTTAATTTATGATTGAATTTTAATTTTATATATTTATATCATTTTGCAGTTCAATCGGGCTAAAGTGTTGTTTGCTCAGGATAAGAATTATAAGAAGGGATTCAAATTCGATCATGTATGGCCCATCTTGAAAGATATCGAAAAATTTGCAGATGTTAATGCTGGAATTCAAGTGGGACGTATGCAACATGGTAACTTTGCATCATCACAATCAGAGTACTCTCCCACTTCAGAGTCTCCCACACCAGCATCTCCTAGATTGGCTTCATTCGGTTTTAATATGAATGACAATGATTTTGGTGGTACTTCTGAAAGACCTATAGGGGTACGGAAAGCAAAATTTAAAAAGAGAAATGATGAAGAAAGTTCTAAGTTTATGGAGTATATGAAAGAAGAGAATCAAAAAATGCTTGCAATTATGGAAAGTTTATGGAGTATATGAAAGAAGAGAATCAAAAAATTGTTGCAATGATGGAAAAAAATAATGCTGATAGACAACTAAATTATGAAATCCAAATGTTAGAGCTCAAACTGCGGTAAAAAAAGTGGACGTGGAAGAATTACGAGAAGAAAATTTAATTTTACTGAAAGATTTGACACAAGTAACTGATCCAAAACTACATGAGTTTCTTGTACAAGAACAATCAAGAATTATGCATAAAAGAACTAAACAATGTGAAGGATCTCAAAATACCGGTTCTGGTACTTTTGCCCAATATTTCGAGCATCTTCGTCCTTCTGATGATAATTTCCTAGAATACTGAAATGTTGTTTTAGTTTATGTTCAATGTTCTATTTTCCTTTAATTTTAATGTATTGCAATTAGTGTTAATTTCCAATGTTGTTCTAGTTTATGTTCAATGTTCTATTTGGTTCTAGTATTATGAAATTTTAAGTGTTTGGATTAAACTATCTATTTTTTCCATTGTTGAATTTTATTTTAATAATTATTTTATAATCTAATTTTATTATAATAGTTCATATCAAAATAATTAAAAAAATAAAAGCACCATGAAATATTTTGATCATGAATAAAAAGAGAAACATTAAAAACCAACAAAATAATAAACTCCATGCCTAAAAAAATTCACTACGCCAAAGCTACAGTGCTGCGCCAAATCTGGCGCAGCACTGTAGCTCTCCCCCAAAATGGCGCTGGGGAAAGCGTTCGGTTGGAGGAGGAACATGAACATTTTTTGCGTCAATTTGAGGGGAAAGCGTTCGGTTGGAGAAGCTCTAATAAAATATTATTTTCATTCAACAACTCATCCATCACATCTAATAAAATATTATTTTCATCCACAACATCACTCAACTCATCTCATCTCATCATCATTTCAAATCACTCACATCATCCAATAAGATGATGACAACTCATCTCATCTCATTAACATTTCATTTCCACTCATTTCCTCCTAAAAATCTAGGAAAACTATTTCCTTAAGTGTGGGTCACATCATCCAATAATATAATGATAACTCATCTCATCTCATCTATTTTCTTATTTTTAAGAATGAACCAAACAAAAGAAAACAGCCTATTACAAGAAATATGTTTCTTATAATTCATTTCCTTATTTTTTTTCACCAAGCAAACAACATCAAAACAAGTTTTCTTAAAAAATCACTCACATCATCCTATAATAAGTTGACAACTAACATCATCTCATCTCTATTTCTTTGATTTCCTTCTTTTTTAAGCCAACCAAACATTCCCAAAATAATTTTTCTTAGAAATAGTTTTCCATTTCTTTGATTTCTCTCTTTTTTTAGGCAAACAAACAACCCCTTATGAAACACGATCCTCCATTATATCGCTTTTGGCTTTTTGCAGTATCCTTTTGTTTTAAGTCCCTTCCTTTTTAATCTTTTGTTGTGAAGGTATTAAACATGAATTAATTCTGCTAACAACAAATTAGATTGTAAGAAATAGGAAGAAAGAAGTGAATGATTTAGAAGGTCCCTTCTTTCCAGTTTTGGCATGTTTGCTATATCCACTCCCAAACAGTAATTTTGGGAGTTGGATTGCCGAAAATGCCTTTTTGATGTTGAGGGTGTTTCTGGAATGAACTTGGCCTGGTTTGGTTTGGGAGAAGGGCAATTTAGTCCTTTTTGATGTTGAGGGTGTTTCTGGAATGAACTTGGCCTGGTTTGGTTTGGGAGAAGGGCAATTTAGTCCTCACACACCCCCAAAGTTACTGTTTGGGAGAAGGGCAATTTAGTCCTCACACACCCCCAAAGTTACTGTTTGGGAGTGTGAATAGTTGGACCCCAGTTTTGGGTATGCTAGTATGTAATACGTGCTTTACACGTAATGCGTATTAAATAATGATATGAGACTAGGCATTCAAAGGGCGGTTTATTGAGATTTATATTATTTTTTCTCTCCAAGAATTTTCATACTTGTACGACTAATAGATTAATGTTTTTTTCATAAATGGGAGGTGAACTCAGTTGTAGAGTTGTTTCATTTTCTCCAAAGAAAAGCAATATAATCTTCTCTCTCAATTATCACCTATAAAATCTTATTGACTGCGAGGTATGCAAGTTACTATAATCGATGGACTGATTCCACTTCCTCCCTTTTTTTCCTTTTGATTCTTTTAGTGTTTTCTTTTGTGCATTTGAGCATCCATATATAGTATACTTTTTATGCAGCTCTTAAGATCCAAGTGGAATATTTATGGAAAGCATGAGTTGTGAAATAATTAGTGCATAATTAATTAAGAGAATTTAATTAGTCTATGAGAGAATATACATGAATGGTTTAATTATAGATTCATTTCTCACTACTATTCATATTAAATACATTATTAGTAGGTTCAGAAAGGCAGATGTCTTAAATTACTTTGTTAGTAGGATCTAATTATTATACTACAATAGTTTTTTATAGAAACGATATTAAGACACATCCAAACTAAACTAAAAACCCAGAAGCATAACAAGAGAATGTAGAAAAATATCGCTCCTTATCAGACTGCAGAATAATGTGTAAAAACGGTGGTGGATCTTCGAGTCATACCACAAAATCATCAATTTTCTTAGCTCTTCGAACCAACACATGAGTCGTTACATTCCTTGTTTGACAAACTATCTCAAAATCTCATTCATTGAGTCATGCGCAACTTCGCTAAATATCATCCACAAAGCGCCAGAAAATCGAGTGCTACTCTGCTCCATTTTGGATATCTCTAATTCCTTTTCCACATCTTCTTTAAAAATTATCTTTCCACATCCAGTATCAGGAGCAAATGTAATAGCTTCCCACAACACTTAGAGTTCCGCATGCTTGGTATTACATCGTATCCAAATATTATAATAAATATATTGGAATAGTTAGTAATATATATTATGATAGTTTTATATGCTATTTCTAGACTACGCACACTAAGAGGTTAACATTTATATTAGTATTTCTCTCCATGATTTTTTATATATCAGACACACATATTAATATATTATAATATTAGATTAGATATTAGATTTTTATTTAAAGATTAAAATTATCTTAAATTACAATATAACTTATAAATATAAGTTATGATATTATTTTCTTAAATATTAAAATTGTATATTTATTGTATAATACCTAATATCTAAAGTGAAATATTTATCTTACTTAACATAAGATTAACATGGTTAAAATTTATGATATATATTAGTTCTTATGTTTATTGCATGAATAATTATAATATAATAAACATAATGAATTGAATAAATTTTAGGGAATTATTGAAAATTATCAAGTTCTGGAAGGGTAAAAGAGGTAGTCAAAAGTTTTAACACTCTATTCATCTTTTATAAATAATATAGATAAGTTCAAATATTATCATGTAATAATAATTTGACGTCTTTTAAAAAATCTTTATTAGTGTATACTATAAAGGAGAACCAAAACACTTTAAACTCATAATAAGATGTCACATCAGTTTTTCATTAACAAAATGTTTTGGCATGTGACATTATCATCTCACCACTCACTGAAATCTGAACTCACCAAAAAATGACATGTAGCATCATTAATTTAAAGAGTTTTAATTTTATGGTGATAATTTAATATTTATCAATATAAATGGAGAAATATTATAACATTGTATCACGGAATTATTTGTTTTACCAAAATATGAAAATCTTTAATGCAAGTCTTTATGTAGTTGCCATAATATATATCTTTATGATTTATCCAAACTTAATTCAAAATTTAAAAAATAGAGGGTATTGTAGTATTAAAATTTCTTATTTATATAATTTGATTAAAGTAAAAATATATATCTCTCAAATTGCACATATATCTATCTAATCTATAATCTTTATTAGTGTATACTCTAATTAGTTCAACTCTAAAGGAGAACCAAAAAACTACAAACTATCCACAAAGGTGCCACATCAATTTTTCATTCATAAATTTTTTTTGCCACATGTACAGAGATCTATGTCGTTCATCTATGTCTTAATTTCCCATTAGATTTTTAGATTAAATCTTACTCGTTAATCTCCAAAACAATCCATTAAATTGTGTAGATAAATTCTATCTTTCACAATCTAATTAAATCTTACCCATAGATCTTAATAAATTCATGCAGAATTTAAAAAAAAAAAAATTTCTAAAATATCAGCATGATTTAAGTGATCTTATACATTTATTCGTTTTAGTTAAAATATCTGACTAAAAGATATTCGTGTGTATTTTTTTCATAATTATGGATTCAAATTACTCTAAATCCAATTTGTTAAAACTCACATACCAAGATATATGATACGCAAGCCCTTCTTTATGTACTAGAATGTATCATAACCAAGTCTTTACTTGCATTATTTTTAGTAAACAAAAAAAATTATATCTTTTGAATTTTAAAAATAAAAGGGAAATGGTACGTATATTGGATAAATTTTGATATTTAATTTTAAAATTTTTTATCATTAGAGATTTTAATAGATATTTATTATCTTATATGGAGAAAATTTTTAATAGTTTTTAAATTTAAATTCTTCCTATAATTTTGGTATTCAAATCACCCTAAATAATAATTATATATAGTAAAAAATAAAATTAATCAAGATATTATTTAAATATAGTAAAAAATTATTTAAAATTTAAAACCTATAATATCTGTCAACAAATATTTCTGAAATAATACTTTTCGCTTTTCGAGCTTCTTCTCCTTCTCCATAATATATACCCCTTCCTTTGTCTCGAAATCTTCACCTCTCCCTCTGCCCCCATCGTTGAGACTCTCACCAAAGTAGATCTTTTATTCTTTTTAATAATTTTTCTTTTCAAGATTAAAGGTGTTTTTTAGTTGGATTTTGGGGCAGTTCTTCTTACTTTGAACAATCGTAGATACCAATTTTAATTTTTTAATTGCATTTATTTAAGTTTTTAATCATAATTCTTGCATTTTAACATTTTTTTAATTTGTTTAATTCATGGTCTCTACCTTAT